AACAGCTTGGCACTCAAATGCCCCAACCACCACAGGGAAGGGAGGGGAGGGAGGGAAAGACCGAAGCGTACTTGCTGAAGTCACTGGGGTAGAAGCCTTGATGGGGGCAGGAGGAGGCGTGGCCAGGCCTAGGGCTCCTGCAGGGGTAGATTTTGCAGCCGGGGGAAAGAGGAAGGGCACTTGGCTGGCGCTGACGGAAGGGGCAGCAGACTCGGCAGCGGCAGCAGCGAACCTGAAGAGGAAAAACTCAAAATGAAACACCGCCTAGAATTCCTCAGTTAGGAGGACAGACCGGTCCGTCCCTCGGCATTTATCAACCTGGCTGGCTTATAAAACGAAGAGGTGCTAGGAACCAAGCGTGGGGCATCTTCAGACTAGGGCCTGGGTCTTGGCATAGTCGGAGGTGGAGCCAAGCGGGGACGCAGCCTAGAATCATTACGTTCCCACAACTGATCCAAAGCCAACCCGTCTCAAAGTGCCAATTAAAGTGGTTAGTGGACTGGGTCCTTTTTTTTTTTATTTTCTTTTAAAATATTTTGATTATTTACATATAAGTATATTGAACACGGTGTGACTGTCCTGGCATGTCATCCGCCGTGAAAACCAAAGTGAAAGATAAAAAAACATTGCAGCTCTCCCAGCCAGCTAAGGTCTGTGACCGTGAATCCCCCCTCGAAAGACTTTGCGGGAGGTGAAGGAGGGAGCAGAATCCAGAGCCAATAAATAAGAGGGATTTTTGCCGGGAGAAGGACTTGGCTTCAGGCTCTTGGGGAGCCTCCACCAGAGCAGACAAAAACAAAGAGCAGACGTACTTTTCGTTGAGGTTGACCTTGACGGAGGATACCGCTGGCGCAAAGCTGGGCTTAGTCGCCGTGGGAGGAACGGGTCCGTCGACACGGCTCTTGAAGCTCACCGACCCAAAGGAGAAAGATGGAGCGGAAACCGGGACGAGGCCAGACGGGACGATGGGAGTTTGCGGTGCTTTCGGGGCGGCGGGAGAAGGGAACTCGGAGGCCTTGCTGGTGCTGGGCCCAGGAGCCGCTGCTGGGGCCTCCGATGGGAACGGATAAGGCAGAGAAGGACTGGGAGCCGGGCCAGGGGCCTTGAGCGGGGGGCTTGCAAAAGAGAAGGGGGTGGTGGCCCCACTGCTTGGGACTAAGGGGGGACCTGGGGCTGGAGGGGCTGGGGGAGCGTCGCTCTTGGGAGCAGCCGAAGGAGCCGTGGCGCCTGGGAAAGAGAGATTGGCCATTAACACAAGGAATACGAGGAGAGCTCGGCTAAGTGAGTCCAGCGACTGTGCCTGATTTTGCAACTTATTTTGGCCGCGGTCCTTAACGCAAATCATAAACGCACCGATTTTAAGTTCTGGCATTTCATTTGAAGGAGGCTCCCTTGGAAAGCCACGAGACCTTCTCAACGCCTCGGCTGCCTCTTAGGGAGACCAACACAACTCACAACCCCAAGGAAATCCCCTGGCCAGGCCCCAAATGCCTACCTGTGGTTTTCGCTCCCCTCTCCCCTTCTGCAGAGAGAGGTTCGGGGGCCACCAGGAGAGATCGGACGCCGGGGTTTTGATTGACCATGTAAAAGGGGCATAAAACCCCGTCTGTGGATAACAACATCAAGACCGGAGCAGGATCCAAAGTTTTATCTTCACCTGGGAGAATCATACCGAAATGCAACACGTTCACTCTAAGGCAAAAAAACCCTCTCTCATAAAATCCAGGAACTTTAAGTAGCACAGCCGGTAAAATGAGGACCCAGATTGTATATTAAGCAATATATAAGTCTCAGTACTCTTGCTAGTGTTTTACTGAGTTATTTATACCACCCAGAGCTGCTTGGTAGAGTTGGGCGGCATACAAATTTAATGACAGTCTTGGCAGATTAGACGATGTCATGTGGAACTTTCGCCCCTTCTCAGATCAAACGAATATTCCTCACATCACACTTACTAATAGTTATGGGCGTGTTGTTGCTATAATCAATGGCGACTCCGACAGGCAAGGAATCGTCGCTTTTATCTGTCACGGGAAGCTCTGCGCGACTGGAGTCCTCCAACACCCACAGTTCCCAGTTGGTCTGCAAAGAAAGTCAATTCGGTTTTCAAAAGGTGGTTGGCAAACAGCCCCCCAAGCCCATGAGGGTGGAACTACGGCACGCAGAGCGAACTAATTGTCTCCTGCAAACTCCACTCCCCCTTCGCTCCTCTTTTGTTTGCTCTGGGAGGGGCCATTCACCGTCCCCCTGTGGCCTTCCTGTCGACCCCTGTTCTTTAGCTCTTCCCTTCGTCTGGCCACTCTGCGCATGCGCACACTGGGAACAGGCTCCCGCTGTTCTTCTGCCTCCCTGATGTCTGACTCTGAAGGCAACTGATGACTGTCAGACGGCCCTGGCCCCCTCTCTGCCTCCGACACAGAGCCCTCATCATCAGAGCCTTCCCCAGACTCCAGGACTGGCCCATCTCCCTCCCCAACCTCTGCTGGAGGGCCACAACAAGAGGCACGGATCAAACCAAACTGGACGTGCTAGAAGGCTGGACATATATGGCTGGGTTTTTGCCCCCGGCATTTTTCTATCATAAGAATCCAAAATGTGACTCTCCCCCCCCCCCTTTCTTACAAAGAGATCTACTCTGCCCGAGTTTGGGAAGAGAATTACCTGATCCCCTTGTCTTGACAGGATGCTGACTTCGGTGGAAGCGGCAGAAGCTAATAAGACCAGATCCCTGGGAAGGAAATAAAATAAAACAGCTGTGAACATTCAAGGAAAATCTTTGTGCGAAGAACAAATTAAGTTCCCACTGAGGTTTCCTGGGGAAAGAGCAGCCTTGAGGGATCTGATCAGCCAACACAAACATAGGACATTGTTGAAAAATACGAAAAGGAACGGAGACGGAGCTAATCATGTTGATTCGGCTCGCAAGGAATTGTGGCTGAGGATCGATGGGTGTGTCTTGTTGTTATTTGTGATCTGCAGTTGACTAGGGCCTAGGCAGCTTGTTGAAATACTAAAACGAGAAACCATTTTGGTTTAAACCCATGGCAAAACCTTGCTTTGCTTTGCTTATCCAGTTCATTACCCCTGAGAAACATCTCTGCCTCAGGTCGGATCAGCTGGTGATGTTCTTACACCCGGGGGCATCTGGCTAAAGTTGAAGTTGTCCCTTTGCTGCAAATTCTATATGACTGCATCAGTCCGTAGGGTTATTGGCGCTCTATGAGCTTGGCTGTCTTCTGCCAGACGTTTCATGACCCAACTAGGCAACATCATCAGTGCCAAGAGGCTTCCAACCATGGATGATGTACCCTAGTCTGCAAGATCTGCAAGAAGACAACCCAGCTCAGAGCTACTCTATATAACCAGGGAGCCACACCAGCACTGGTGATGTGACCTGGTTGGGTCATGAAGCCCCTGCAAGAAAGGTTGAGAGGGTGCCAAGGCTTCCTCAGTTCCACCTTGAGCTACAAATAGGATCTTCTGTTGGTACTTACCAGTCTTCAACGAAGTTAAGGAAGTAGTGATGGAGCCTCTCGGTGCAACTGCCATAACAAGGCTCCATAAAGTTTACGAAGAGCTCAGGCCTCTTCTCTTCTTTTTTCTGAATGCAGAACAGAACAGCTTCGTTTGTCAACTTTTGTTTTTTAAAGCAATTTGTGGCACCAGTGGTGCCATTCGGACCAGTTCCGGTGAACTGGCAGTGGCAAGTAGGCCCCGGCGCTATGCCATCCTATGTAGCCGTTTTCTAAGGCGTGTGGGTGCGGGCAAGCACACTCACATTTTCGGTGTGCGGAAACCGGTGGTAAAATTGTGTGGAACCTCCCCCCCCCCCCCCCGGTGTGGCACATATTCCCTGGTGGATACATACCGGCAACAAGGCCATAACCACTTCGGGAGAAGTTTCCAAGTTGCCGTCGGCTGCGGCGTAAATGATGGTGAAGACGTAAGTGCCAATCCACAACACATCCAGGACTGGAAAAGAACAATAAAAAGGATTACTTGTCTCCTGATCGTTGAAGGTGATTAGCTACAGACTATCTGTATCAGCTTTTTACTTTGGATTTTTAAACTTCACTAACATTTTCTGCAAACCAAGCGCTGTGCTTTCCAAGCCATGTCAGGTTCACCTGGCCTAATTTAACTATTAGAAACTTGCAGCGAAACCAGAAAGAAGGCTGACCAGGTGTTCCTCCCAAAATATCACTAAATTCATACCTTTGACAGGATTATCTGCCACGTAGAATGGAGGGCAAGGAATTGTTTTCTTTTCCTGCAAGTTCTGAAAAATTGAAGAAAAAGCACAGTTAGACCATATTTTTGTCTGTTGGTGCAGCACTTCAGTGAGGTTCTAAATCACACAGAGCTAAGTTAATTATTCTGCAAATTCATCCCTATTCTGGATTTTGAGCCACACCTGGGTGATTTGAAGAATCCATAAAACTGAGATAACTACGCCGGAAAACTCCATCCAGGTCCTCATAAATTAGGAACAGATGCTGGAAATGCCATCTGAGCCCAGGTACTTACTATCATATATGGCGGACTTGTAGCAAAGCAAGAAAATATTGGGAAAAATAAGTAGCTGGTTGGAAAAGATAATTAAACAGAATATAGACTTGAAACCAGAAGTATATCAGTTGGGCATAATACCATTATAATAATAGGATTATAACAAAGGGACCATATAATTAGTTTTGCATATACAGACAGCAGCATGGATTATATTTGCAAAATACTAGAAAAATTAGAATCCCCCCCCCATGAGGATGTAATTCAAATAATTTTAGATTGCACTGAAATAGACAGACTAAAATTAAAAATAAAAGATAAAGAAGAATATTACTTGATATGGAATATATTTTACGAGTGGTTAAAGATAAGAGGTAGAAATTAGAGGAAGAAAGACTATGAATGTATGTATTAAAAATAAAGGTTTACAATTACAATCATGTCCATATAGTTAATAACAATGTAAATAAGCTAATATAAAAAGATTCTCAGTTAAAATTAGTTATATTGTTATTGTTATTAGTACATGTGTTAAAGTAGTAGTAGTAGTAGTAGTAGTAGTAGTAGTAGTACATGTGTTAATAATTATTACAGTCTTTTCTCTGGTTCTTTCTTTATTTTTTTTAATGGTATACCCTGACAATACACCAAATTCGAAATGTTTATGAATAAAAAATTTTAAAAAGAAGATTGTGGACCGGAAATAAGCCAAAATTAGGACTTACCGGCAGATACTGGACCACTGTGCCATTCTGCTTGCCTACTGCCAGCTGTTTCCCTTTAGGACTCCAACACACTGGGGAAAAAGATTTTTTTAAACAAGCCTTAAAAACTGACACATTAATTACTGCACCAACCTGGCTTACAAACCCCAATAGAAGAAACCGCTGTTGAGAGTAATCAGGCCAATTTTTGCACCCCAGCCTTGTGCCAATCAAGGACACTTGAGGTGTAGTTTGTCAGATAATGAAACTAGCAACATGTCAGACTGAGAGGATAGAAGCTATATAGTCCAACATGGCTTAGTAGTTAGCATGCTGGCCTTGTAAACCAGGATCATGAGTTTGCTCTTCAACAGTTTAGTTGCACCAGGCTAAGAAATAGAGGAAATAGAGGAAAGTGAGTTCTAGTCCCGCCCACCTTAGGCATGAAAGTGAGTTCTAGTCCCGCCTTAGGCATGAAAGTCAGCTGGGTGACTTTGGGCCCAATCCCCCCCACCCCTCTCTGAGCGCCCCCCACCTGACCAAGTTGTTGTAGAGAAAATGTGAGGAAAGAGGAGGCATGTTCACTGCCTTGAGAAATTGATAAATATATGAATAAATAAGCACACGTCAATAAGTAAGAAATTAAAAACGAAAAAGGAGGAAACCAGGTTTGAATGAGGGGATGAAACCATGAGACCCACCAGATGTGACGGCCACTGAAGCAGGAAGCGTGGCGTAGACCTTTACGGTTTCCATCACCTGCAGGACGGAGACGCTCCCATCGGACAGACAGACAGCTAACATTGTGGCATTCACTGGATTCCACTTAAGGTCGTTGACCAAAGCGCCTCCCATCTTTTGATAAGCGAACGGTCGTTTTTGCTGTTTCGCCTGTTGGAAAGAGATCAAACGAGCATTTAATAAGGATGGATGGGTGGACAGAGACAGACAAATAGGTAGATGCCACACATTGATGTATGGAGGTAGAGAGACATGGATAGAGACGTGGATAAAGGTAAAGGTTACCCTCGCACATAGGTGCTAGTTGTTCCCGACACTAGGGGGCAGTGCTCATATCTGTTTGAAAACCGAAGAGCCAAAGCTGTCCGAAGACCTCTCTCTCATGTCGCTTGGCGTTTCCTGGCACTCTCTGACATCCTTGCCCCCACTTTTGGGTTTTTTTTCGGACCCTGTGGGCTTGCTCCAGAGAGGAGGGGTGGTCAGCTTGGTATGGCACTGTATGAGATTAGGCTGCTGGCCTCACTGCCGCTACCATGGCGCTCTGGACTCCCCCCCCCCCTCCATCCTACTTTTCGGACTTTGGACGTTTGGACTCTTCCCCCCCACTCCTCTCCGACCCCTCCTACCATTGTTCTTATTGTTGCCCTGTTTCATCTACGCCCCCTTGGGACTGTGCCCCTCCGGACTAACGGCGAGAAACAGAGGGGGGGTGAGGCTTTGGACTGCCTCCTGTTCTAATCTGGCACTTCAGGGACATAACTCCATCTGCCCTCTATTTTTACAATCGCCCACCCAACACGGCTTTCCTTCCTTTGGACCTTGACTCTGGGCGCTTTTCAGGACCTGAGGAAGGGAGAGGGGCGGAGCAGCTCTCCCTCCCCCCTCCGCACCACTGACTATCTTAGCCATACTTGCGCAGTGCTCCGCACATTTTAGGAATGTAGTGTGAATGGTGTGCCTGGGCGATGTTTGTACCCACTTTTTTAACCTCATATTGTTGTATTTTTTCTGTTTAATTAACATACATGGGGATTGCATGGATGAGTGGCTGTGTATGCATGTGAGGACTGAGAGTACAGCCTGGTGCCTCCCCTCTGAGTGCTATTGCAGAAGTGGTAGGGGGCCCAGGCCTACCTCCCGTCCCAGAATGAGTGATAAAAATTGCCTGCCGGATGGAGCCAAGTCCTGGCTGCTCCAGCAGGCCGGGGGGCTTGTGAAATATCCAACCCCACGGTAACTGTAGATGTTGCATATTTTAAGGTGTTGTCTTGTTTATTTATCCCCTTCCCTTGTTTATTGTAAGCCGCCCGGAGTCCTTCGGGAGTGGTTAGGTTAGGTTAGGTTAAGTTTATTTATAG